TCCTTCAACCTATGTAAGACCTACAATCTTTGTTCCTAGTTGCATGCATTTACATTTACCCATGGTCAAATGCATATTGTTTGCTTGTGTTCAGTTTATCAAGCAATACAGAATGCTCGGTACAAGAGACCTGTCCACTACATCATTTACCCCAATTTCTCTATCATCTGCCAACTTCATCAGTGATTACATTTGTTTTTTTCTTCAACCTATGTAAGACCTACAATCTTTGTTCCTAGTTGCATGCATTTACATTTACCCATGGTCAAATGCATATTGTTTGCTTGTGTTCAGTTTATCAAGCAATACAGAATGCTCGGTACAAGAGACCTGTCCACTACATCATTTACCCCAATTTCTCTATCATCTGCCAACTTCATCAGTGATTACATTTGTTTTTTTCCCAGGTTATTAATAAAAATGTTAAATAGTATAGGGCCAAGAACCATTCCTGGCAGGACCTCACTCACAACCATCTCCTTGATGATGATACCTTATTTACAATTATATTTTCAGACGCATTAGTTAGTCAGTTTTTCATTCATATAATGTGTGCCATGTGCATATCATTCTTATTATATAATCAAAATGTTGTGCAGTGGTAGCAGTACCAAAGCAAATGCCTTGCAGAAGTCTAACCATGTTACATCAAAACTACTAACTTTATCAACCAAACTTTGAAACTCCTAAAAAAAATTAAGTTAGTTTGACAAAATCTACTTCCATAAACCTATGATTAGCATGAATTATATTATCCTCCTTGAATTCTTTATGAATAAAGTCCCATGTTGTCTGCTTTGTTATCTGGCTTGAGATTGATGCCAGGCTGATAGGCCTATAATTATTGGGTCATCATGTTTACTATCTTTATATATTAGTATAATACGTGGCCATTATTTGTGCTGTTACTTATGATATTTTTTCTTTCTCCCCTCCCCCCCCGAATATTGTGATATCTTCTCTGAGTTGTCCACAACAACTTTTTCTGTTGCTATTACCACCAATTCAAAAACACATCGGTTTAGAAAGAGATTTTCAAGTGTCCCTACCAGCGCATTTATCTATGTCAAATATCATTTGTGCCAGTTACCTACCTCTGTTGAGTCCTGCTTGTCATACACTACATAGTTTTTGTGTTCAACAAATTTTGCTACTTAACTATTTATCCTTTCTTGGAAGTCATTAGATAACAACAAATCCTATTCCTTGGGTATCTACTCTTAATGATAAGTGCTTTACATATATGTAGTACTTGTCTTTGTGAAGTGTTTCATAAACTACATCTTAGCAAACACCACCAAAATGCAGATATTTCTGAAGTGATAGCCAATTGGTTCACTGCATATTAGTGGTGGAAGATAAAATGTTGTCTAATAGGGCAAATCTCTAAGGTTACAAAATGCGCCATGGATTACTTAGTTCCATACAAGGGATTGAGGAATACATTTCCTATGATCTCATACACAAAAGCCTTACCCTGTAAACTGAATGGAATTCCATTTTCTACCACAGGAGGATGAAAAGCTGAACAGACCTTGCCAGGATTTAAGCTTGCAAACCAGCGTGTTTGCAAAACTGATGTTTAAACCATTATACTATTGCATCAGGAGTAAGGCCTTTGCCAGGCGTGCCGTTTCAGATTTTGGTTTGGGAGGAAAACTATAACCATTATCCCAGGGGCACTTAAGTTTTCTGGCAGATTATTTAGCAGTTGGCTTACAGGAGCCCTGTATCTAATTCCTGTATAAAAGAAAGACAAATAAATATTAGACCCACTTAGCTTTAATAACACATTCTGACATCTTATGACAGGTTACTTAAGGGACACTGTTAGGTTTAGAATTTTATTATATATTCCTACTTTGTTACTAACTCTATGGAGAGAGAGAGACCGTAACAGAAGTCCTGGAGTCTCTCTCAGCTGTGGAAAGGGAGTGAGGTCTAGTAGGTTATAGCTGAGGCAGATATGGGTGGCTGGTGCAGATGGGGCTGGGGGGAGGCAGGCCT